GGAAGACAACTAATCTGAAGTCTCAGGTCCAGCCCTTGCGCTCAGGGAGCCCCCAGTCAGATGAGGGAGGCGGAGGCAGCCAACATATTGACACTCAGAGACGCGTGCACACATGCACACAGCCCTTGGACTGCTGGGCAGATGGTGCCAGGATGGAGCTGCAAGGAGGACCCTGGAGGCTGCACTGTCGCCCCCTCAAAGATCATTTGGCAAAAGCCAGGAAAGTCCCAGAAATGCCATGTTGGGGACTTGGAGAAGGCTCTCCTCGCGGTCTCCAGTTGCCAAGGGCAGAGTCTGGAGTTTGGGTCTCATCTAGATGGGGTTAATGAAAGAAGCAAATCAGCCCCAAATCAGAGCCCAAGGCAGCTTAATTTCCAGCCAGAGGGCAGAAGCATGACTTCCTGCCAACCAAAGGACAGAGGCTTAAGCCCCAGGGAGTCTGTGCAGCCAGCTCAGCAGCGGCTTTTTGGTGTGGGGGCAGGGGGGTGCATTGGAGGCTCCCCAGGGGCCACCATGGGTCAGAGCCCTCCTCCCCCCAGGAGCCACTTCTGAGGCTTGGCGTGCTTCCCTGCTGTTCTTCAGCCGGAGATTGGGAGGCGCCCGCTCCACCCCAGCCCTGCAACTGACTGGCTGGGTGGCCTTAGTCTCCTCTGGAAGATGGGATGGTAGAATGCCTCCCTCTGGCCCCAACAGGTATGCAGCCAGCATCCTGCAAGAATGTGTGTGGGGGGGTTTCCCATCCGTCGGTAAACAGCTGGCCTGCCCCTGGGTGAGGTGCCTCCTGCCAAGTGGCAGCTTTAGAGGGTGGGTTTTCTTATAGTGAGGCTCCCCGGGAATGTGGCCACTCCGTGCCAGGGATCAGGGCACACGGCTAGCCCAGCTGTGCCCCCCTCCCACCTGCCCCCAGGGCCTGCCTGGCAGGAGGGAAGCAGAAGAGTCCTTTCTCCACGAGGCCCTGGCCCTGGGGACCTGTGCTGCCACTCAGCAGAGCTCAAAGCTGGAACTGAACGGGCCGTCAAGACCCGGGGTCCCCACTGTGTGGGTCTCCACCCTGGCTCTTGGTGATGACGTGCCCAGCTGACCTGCCTCTCACCTTGGACCCCCAGAGTGGGGGGGCAGGAAGATGAAAGGGAGAGCCAGGGGGACATCAGCTTATGTTGGGCACTGGGCCAGGAACCTGGGATCCTCCAGGCCGTGCCCTGTGTCCTCATCTCTTTCAGATACTCAGGCTGGGTTTGCAGGACAGCATATCCAGGTCTATAGAGGGCGGCACAGCCATTGGCTACCCATGAGGCCAGGGGCCTTCCAGGTTTGGGGGGTAGCATAACACAGGGTCAAGGGTGTGGGCATTGCGGCCAGGCATGGCTGTGTGACTTTAGGCAAATGATGTAACCACTCCGGGCCTTCTCAGGCTGGAAGCTTCCAGAGCCGAGGCTTTGCTCCTCCCTCCCTCCACAACTCCGGGCACCAGGAGCCTGCCGGGAGGGCAAGAGGAATTTAGGGGAAGCTCTAAGCCTCCCTTTAAGGAAAGCAATGAATCTGAAGTCACAGGTCCAGCCCTTGCTCTCAGGGAGCCCTCAGTCAGATGAGGAAGGCATAGAAACCCCTTCTCGATATTCTCCCCAGGAAGGGGCAGAGTGCTGGGGGCGCTGAGAAAAGGCTGTGGAGCCCGCCCCGCAGTCAAGGAGCTGCTGCCGTGGAGAGGGAGGGCCTGGAGGAAGGAGTCCCGCTGCCCTGCTGGGGCTGCTCAGGCGTGGAGCTCCATGGGTTTGTTTTCTTGGGATACAATTCACATAGTATACAAGTCACCCATTTAAAGGGCACAGTGAGCCGGGCTCGGTGGCTCAGCCTGTAATCCCACGCCTTTGGGAGGCTGAGGTGAGTGGATTGCCTGAGCCTGCGGGTTCGAGACCCGCCTGGGCAGCGAGACCTCATCTCTATAATAAATCAAAAAATCAGCCAGGTGTGGTAGCGCATGCCTGTAATTCTGGCTGCTTGGAAGGCTGAGGCGGAAGGATGGCCGGAGCCCAGCAGGTCGAGGCTGTGGTGGCCGGGAGCGGCCACTGCACTCCAGTATGGGTGACAGAGTGAGACTCCAACTCAAAAAAATAAAAAAATAAGGGGCACAGTGGATTTTAGTATATCCAGAGTTGTGCATCCATCGTGACAACTGATGTCAGCGCATTTCGTCACCAGCCCGAGGCACGCCTGCCTCCTTTCTGTCTGCATACTTCCCTGTTGTGGGCATTTTGTATAAACGGAGTCATAACACGTGGCCTTTAGTGACTGGCTTCTTTCACTTAGCGTGTGTTCAAGGTTCTTCCATGTTGCTGCAAATCAGTACCGTCAGCCTCTGTCCGGGAGTTTTGCCTCCCATGGACTCAACCCACCGCAGATTAAAAAGATTCAGGGAAAATGAACAGCTGAACATGGGTAGACTTTTTTGATTGTTGTTATTTCCTAAACAATGTAGTTTAACAACTATTTGCATGGCACTTATATCAGGTATTCTAAGTATAGAGATGCATTAAAGTAAACAGGATGTGTGTAGATTATATGCAAATACTACACCATTTCATATCAGAGATGAGAGCCTTCAAGGATTTTGGTATCCACAGGGGGTCCTGGAGCCAGTACTCCCTGGTTACGGAAGGGACCCGTATACTTCTTTTTACTATTAAATAATACTTTATAAGCCGGGCTCGGTGGCTCAGCCTGTAATCCCACGCTTTGGGAGGCTGAGGTGAGTGAATTGCCTGAGCCCGCAGGTTCGAGACCTGCCTGGG